GTTGGTCCCAGTAGCCGATGCAGAGATTGACATATTTCATAGACTCGGATTCCGACTAGAGTTATCCTTTTGGAACTGTTGTACTCTAAGTATACTCACAGGAGGAAGTTTGTTCGACCATACAAGTCCGTCACTGGCAATCTCATGAAGAAGGCAAACACTGACATCTTGAGGAGCAACGCAGAGAAGCAAAAATCTAAACACTTCTCTTCATCTGCATGTAAAAAAGCGAAAGTTTTAGACAGTAATCACAATATGTCATCACGCAAGGGGGAAGTTGTGCGACCTTCTACATCAGGGTTGTGTGTCAACAATGGTGCCATCCCCGTATCTTCGCCGGAAATCAGTGACGACAGTGACGCGTCATCACTCGCAGAGGAAGACAAAATGCTGTGCGTGAAACAAGTTTCAACCTCAGGAACTTCGTAGATGTCCCCAAATTGTCTTTGTGAAGTGGGGAAAATGCGACTTTTGTCCCCATTGGACTCATCTAGTCTACTGCTCGGAAATTCGAGTCTTAAGACGTCACAGCATATTCCGATGCCCTCACTGTTTATGTGAAGAATGATTGACAAACTTGACTTTTCATGTAAATATTTTCACTTTGATGACTTCTTCTTTGGAATTTATCGTTTTCAAGTTATCTTGCCTTATAATACCGACTTGGACATATCAGATCTTTCACCCGTGCTTTCCGACAGGATTTCTCTTCCATACACTCCACAACGTGACTTCTTAGTTATACCGCGAGAATGGGAGAAGCCTCATTTTGTCAATGGCGGATGGCATTGTTTATCACCGGGCTCACGAGTGGTGATTTACCTGATGGATCTAGCATCTGATAGATGTAGATGTTAGAGGAGAAGGCCCATAATTTAAAAACAACGAGCATTCATACGGTAAGAATTGTTTGTGTTATTTTTTCAGCCGATATCCGTAAGTACCGCAAGAATAGGAAACGCCTTCCTACTGTGACGTGAGTGTAACAGGCCTTCCACAGAACAAAATGTTGTTTAATCTTCAAACTTGTTGAGTTTCTTGACAGAAAACTTTTTCTAGATGTATTCGTTCGATGATTGTCTTTTAGATTTCCCAACTTTTAACCGTTGACTTTCCCAAAAATGAACAGGTTTTTGCCAGAGTCTGTTTCAACACTACACCGTCACCCGTCACTAGAAAACACGTCAGTCGTGAATGAACGATGTTCAGTCGCACTGGCTTGATCGAATAAATGTTTAGCTGTTATTAAGTTCAGTGATATATTTAAAAGATCAGTTTCATCATATTAACAAATGTTAATTAATTATTCCAGACATAATAATTTTGTTGTATTTTACAGCGATTTTATGATGTACTATTTCCATAGCGTAGTAATGTTATTACCGCTGGAGAACTTAGGTTTAATACGCGCATGAATACGAATCAGCTGTTTGAGGTCACAAGTCCTGTCTCCGGGTTGTTTTTATTTCGTGGTTCTTCCTTTTAAATTACATTATGGGTATAAAATAGAATAATTGGTATTTTTGAGTGATTACGGGAAATGGCTCGCTAAAATAATGTGAACATTATTTCAACTCGGGCATATTTCCCGTAATCACTCGTACCGAGTTGGTTATTCTCTAAATATGTGACCTGTCCCGATCGGAGGGCCTGTATATGAGCGTGAAGTCTTACAGACCGCACATGCGCAAACCCGATGGCAGAAATGGTTATCCTGGGGAACGGCAATGGAGCACTCAGTATGTCAAACGGTAGAACTGTTATCTATGCCCATGAGCTGCAAGTCTGAGACGATGACGGTAAGTTGGATGAATAAGGACACGAATAAAGGCAGTCAGTCTCCTTTCTTGGCGTTGTAAATGTCTTGTTGATCTAAGCTTGACTGCCTTTTCTTATAAGATGAGGTTAGTAAAAACAGTATTTTCAGATTTGAACTATAATTTCTACATGTTAATTTCTACATGTTATCATGTGGACACAGTACACACGGGAAAGAAGTGATGGTTTCCTGCTTTGCGGATGTGCCGTTGCATTTCCTGCCCAGGATATGTTTTTCTCTATTAGTCTCTCTATTTTTTCTCTGTCGGTGATTGGTTGGTTGGCTTAACGCCACACTCAGCAATATTCAGGCGGTCTGTAGATAATCAAGTCTGGACCAGACAATCCAGTGATCAACAGCATGAGCATCGTTCTACACAACTGGGATACAATGACATGTGTCAAACAAGTCAGCGAGCCTGACCACCCGATCCCGTTAGTCGCCTCTCACAAGATTGGATTGCTGAAGACCGATTCCACCTCGGATCTTCACGGGTCTAGATTTGCGAAGGCACATAAGTTTTACAGAGTGATTCTCACCTTGTGGGATGTCCTACATTTCAGTTATTTCAGATGCAAGGCTCATTACAGCTGCTTTACATTTAACAGCTGTAAACTGCCTTTAAACATCAGGCATCCAATTGAGTCACAATATGTTTACATGAAAACTTAAACCGAACCTGTAACTTCGCATATCACGTTTTACTGTAACCCACTGTTTCAACTGAGCCACTTGGGCAGGTGATGAGAGAGTTTTCAGTCTTACATGTCATCACCTTAGTTCTCAGGATGCGCATGTCCAGCGTGACAACTAGCTTGTATCACTGTCTGGTTTCCACGGAAATGTGTGTAGACTGCTAGGTGTGAGAATGGGATAACCTGAGACTGCAGGAGCTGGGATAGGGATGTCTGGTTTCCACGGAAATGTGTGTAGACTGCTAGGTCTGAGATTGGGATGACTGTATACTGCTAGGTCTGAGATTGGGATGACTGTATACTGCTAGGTCTGAGATTGGGATGACTGTAAACTGCTAGGTCTGAGATTGGGATGACTGTAGACTGCTAGGTCTGAGATTGGGATGACTGTAAACTGTTAGGTCTGAAAATGGGATAACTGTAGACTGCTAGGTCTGAGATTGGGATGACTGTAAACTGCTAGGTCTGAGATTGGGATGACTGTAAACTGCTAGGTCTGAGAATGGGATGACTGTAGACTGCTAGGTCTGAGATTGGGATGACTGTAAACTGCTAGGTCTGAGATTGGGATGACTGTAAACTGCTAGGTCTGAGATTGGGATGGCTGTAAACTTCTAGGTCTGAGATTGGGATGACTGTAAACTGCTAGGTCTGAGATTGGGATGACTGTAGACTGCTAGGTCTGAGAATGGGATGACGGTAGACTGCCGGAGCTGAGAATGAGATGGCTGTAGGCTGCCGGAGCTGAGAATGAGATGGCTGTAGGCTGCTGGAGCTGAGAATGGGATGACTGTAGCTGCCGGAGCTGAGAATGGGATGACTGTAGGCTGCCGGAGCTGAGAATGAGATACTGGAGCGGAGAATATGGAACCGGAGAAAATGTAACGGAGATGATTGTATTGCCCGAGAGAAAGGAAATTCCCCAGATGTAGTGTTTCCGTATCGTATCTATCCCATTTTAGGAAAAACAAAATTATAGTACCAGTCAGTTGTTCTACATTATGTGGACACTCACGATATAGGTGAAATATTCCGATGTGACGTCAAATCATATTCCATACACTAATGATACAGAAACAAACACAATATTTAATCTCTTTATTACGAAAAAGCCATTTTAACAAATAAACGATTTGAAACCATATCGTTATTTCTAAAATATCTTTAGAAATCGTGTAGAAATACGACGCCTCACGGAAACACCTCTTTAATCAAACAGTGTTAATTAATCTTCAGCCATATTTGTTTACTTAGTACTCACACAACGGCTTAACCTATGGGACACCAGAAACGGGCTTCACACATTGTACTCATATATTGAACTTCGGGCTTCTTCGACGTGACGGGCAAATGCCTGACCATCTCTCGCACACACTCTCGCACGCACACAGGCACGCACGGAATACCAAGTCGGTACCAATTAACTACTTGCTTCCTTGTTATGTTTCCACCCAGTGTGCGAAATAGTTCCCAAATTCTGCTAGCTAGTCGGGCTAGCTTGCCTGAGAGTTACTAGTCCACAAAATAATCCACTAGTGCGAAATTTGAATGTTGGAACTAAGCAAAATATTACAAAAATAGCTGAGAATAAGACATTGTCGGCATGACACGGGTTTCGTCATTAAGCTGCTAATATGATGAACATTTGTACCAGGCCATACTCTTGGATGATTTAAAAGTGTATTAAAACTTAACAAGTCGTAGAGAGTGATATATTTACAAAATAACCCCATGAAAATTCATTATCCAGTCAGGCCAGTCACTGTGGAGATTGACTGGCCCGACTTGAGTTTTACTAGCCACGGGCTAGCGGGCCAGTGGCTATTTCGCACACTGTTTCCACCTTATCTTGTTACATTTGTTGTACACACATGCACATATACACGCTCTCTGCACCCTAGCTTAAGAACATACCCCGAAACGTTCTGTTCCTTTCTAACCGACTCCGTGGTGTAGTGGTTAGAGCGTCCGCCCGGAGAGCGGAAGGTCGCGGGTTCGATCCCCGACCGCATCATACCAAAAGACGTTGAAATATGGTACTTGTTGGTCCCTGCCTGGCGCTCGGCATTAATTGGTACAACAAGGACTGTTCGGCTCGGAGTCAGTATAATGTCTCTGAGAGGGGTATTCATGCTTCACTGCGGCATGGTATCTCAGTGGGCTAGCACTATAAAACCATCTTCAGTCTGGGCTAGTACAAGCAGCCGCACATACACATACATACGCATGCAAGTCGTCAAATGAGCGAAATATTCTCAAGTACGACGTTTAACTCAATTTCACCTCACCTCACTAAAGAATTTCTCATCCATAGATTTACCGTTGTGTGAATCACTTCTACATGCCATTCAAGGACCTATGGAACATATTCTAAGAAAACCGCAAGACACTTCTTTAACTACGTTGGTTATCATAAGATCAATGTTCGTATTTACACTTGAAATTGTCTCATTGAACTTAGATAAGCATTTATCTAGAAATACAAATATAATTCAGGTTTTTAATATTTAAAATACATGTGAACGAGTATGGCCAAAGAAAGATGGTCTAGAAAATACAAATATGCTCCAATAATATTGAACATGTCATTAAGCAATTCCATCTTCTGTATTCACTTTGATGCACTGGCTGACCTCCACCCACAGCCTGCCTTCATCGCCCCTGTATCTACCCACACTGAAGATGTGTCTCTCCTCCACGACGTTCAGTAAGGTGGGAGGGATGTCCCCTCGTCTCACGTCCCCAAACAACACCAGAACAATGCTCCCTGCGGGCATTCTAGAAGACGAATACACAACACGGTTGACAATGAAGCGGCACCACTGGTCCTCTACAAACGACTGAGTGATAATGAGGACCGTTTTCCAGCTGGAATCTATTCCGTTGATGATGTCGTCGGCTATTTGTCCTCCAGGGATGGTATCTCTGTCCTTCAGGAAGAGTTTGAATCCATGTCTATCTTCCAGGAGTTCTCTCACAGTGTGACAGACGTACTGGTAATCGACGTCGCTGTAGCCGATGTAGGCGTCGTTCGGGAAGTCAAACCGCCGTAAAGGACGGACTGTAGTTCTGTAGCCAAACAATCGCAGCACTATGTTTACAAGCAAGGTTTTTCTTACAACAACAATATACATTCCAGCCATAGTAAGAATGGTCATTGCAAACCCTGAAACAGTTCCCGCCAGCATCAATCTCCCGTAACACGTCCTCCAGACTTTCTCATAGTTCTCGGCATAGTGTGAGGTATTATCGATGGTGCCATCGTCCTGAAGACAATCATATGTGCGACTTGGGACGAGATTAACGTTGGTGTTGGACAACCAGAGAATGAAGTTCAGGTTGTGACATCCACAGGACAGAAGATTGCCACTCAGGATCAGGGTGAAGTTGTTGTTGGAGGCTAGGTCATCCAGGAGGGTCATTTCAATATTGGATAAATCTACCACTGAATTATAACTGAGGTCGAGATTACGAAGGTTGGGGGTACTTGTCAAATCAAAGGGTATGCTTCTAAAACGATTCCTTGAAAGATCAATTTTTTCAAGAGGTTTATCAGCAAACATGTGTTTATCGAAAGACATCAAATTATTGTTAGCTAAAACAATACTTCTTAATCGCCGTAATGGCCGGAGAAGTCGCTGCCCATTCTCCAGAAGGTAGTGTTCCGGGTTTCCAAGATCAGAATTGGTCATATCTAAATTTGTTAAGCCAGGTAGGTTGTCAAATGAATTTTCTAATATACCCCCTAGCGGATTTCCAGATATATCTAACTGTGGTAGATTTGTGAGACCAAATATATTTTGAAATTGATTAAAGCCATTGTATGCAAAATTGACATATTCCAAAGATGATGCATTCACAAACAGAACATTCAGCTGATGAAGTTGAACTGGAACCGACATTATAGCAGGAACATAAAGAAACGTAATGTCTTTGGTAAGTAAATATCAATATGAGGTCCTAGATTTTTGCACTTGACGATACAGTGTCTTTGTTAAGTTATCAATTCGAGGTTGTCCGAGATTTTGCCCTTGAACATCCAGTTCATCCCATGCAATTTTCGTTATCTTCAGAGTAATAATGTTTGGCGTCAGTGACAACATCAGGAACAATTTAGGACTTCCAAAGATGTAATTTTCTGATAAATCTAAGGACCGTATACACGCACAAAAATTCCAGACATACACAAGTTGTCAGCAATCCATATAATCCTATTTCTCTTCAGGGATAAAGAAGCAATACACACGTTATTTAGAATGTTCACTATCGAATCGGACAAGATCTGGTGTTCAATGGCAAGCCATGTCATACCAAACCCAGCAAATGCGGAATCCATTGTCACTGAGGACAAGTTCCTACCTTTAAGTCCATACATAGATTTTACTGCTGTAGTCGGAGGTAAAGTATCCTGCATACGACATATTAAGGAACCTTATAGACACAAAATACGAAAATGCATTGCTCTCAATGTCTACAAGTGGACAATGATCAAGATTTACAGTTGCAATGGGCGCTTTGGAAAAATGGACGAAAGTGTCATTTTTTAAGGACTTTAATTTACAACCCGGAAACCCAGCAACAGTGTCGTAAGATTAGTCATATTTGCAAAGAGTTTATCAAATGTAGTGACTTCAAATGTATCAAGACTTATTTCCTGGATAGACCTAAGTTTCCCAAAGGCCTTCGGGTAAGTGCCTTGCCTTTGGCCATCATTGTTGTGCAGGTGGATCTTCTGAAGCCTTTGTAGAGGAAGGAAGACTTCGTCTGGGTAGTCAGTATAGTTGAGCTTGTTTCCAACCATAAGCAGTACTCTCAAGCTGGTTGTCTCATGGAATGCATCCACACTAAGCTTTGAAATGTTACTGAATGAAGCATCAAGGTATCGCAGATGAGGCAGAAGCAGTGATGTCTTGTCTAAGATGGAGATATTGTTGTGACTTATATCCAGGATGGTTGTGTTTCCTGGCAAGTAATTAGGGACCTTTGTTAGATTGCAGTAGCTGCAGTTCACACGAGTTCCAGAGTGAAGATGATCAGGCGACTGACTACACCCACGAGCTGGGTAAATGCTTAAAAGTGCAAGACTGAGAACTCCCAACAGGACAATGGCCATTGCTCGTGTTGGTTGTCTGTAAAAGGAAAGAATAGTAAATTTACACTATCAGGTCTGAAAAAATGCTTGGGTAATGTTTAGAATCGTTAGCAGACAATTGCAGAAACTAATGGTTTGGTTTGTTTGTTGTTTAACGCTGCACTCAGCAATATTCCAGCTATATGGCGGCGGTCTGTAAATAATCGAGTCTGGACCAGACAATCTACACAATTTGGATACAATGTACGCAAGTGATATACTTGCTTGCTAGCGGTGTAAGCTAGTCGCTACACCTAAACGTCGCTTACATTAATAATAACGAGTTTATATCCACAAAACGTTCCTCTTTGTTCATCACACCAACTTCTACATGCCACTTAAAGAAGTTCCCCAAATCTAGCTCCTAGGGGTGTCTAATTGTTCTCAACAAGCTTGCTCAAACATTGTGACTAAAATAACGACAACTTGCACCCAAACCATCAAAATCGAAAGCATTTACACAAACTTGATAGGACTACCGTTATTTTGGCGTCCTTACTGGCCCGATTTGTGTCATCGATTTTCAAACTGCCTGAATCTTTTCGGACATGATCACGTCACTGTTCTTACAACTTCACTTCCACCATCGGTGACATTTGAGAGTAATTATTTGTTATAATGACTGTTCTGCATACATTTTGGAAGACAAATGCCCCAGTTGTTTTTACCAGATAAAGCCTGACATTGAAACATCCATTCGCCCCAGATTTGACATATTTGCTGGAGGTTTATAATTCGAGTAAATAATCACTTCATAACATCCTTATCAGACGCTTGTGATATGTTCTGTACACCGTCTGGGATTTCTTGGTACGTAATTGATACGCCTTGTCGAGAAAACTATCACTCTTACGACCAAGTGCATTGCATGTATAGACATAACATCGATGAATGGTCTTATATGACATCAGATTTGAAATAATGGTTCTCATAGGTAGGAACAGATGCACTGTAAAGAGAGTATTGTCATTCCATAGAAAGACATTATTCTGTGATTTGTTATGGTTGTAATTATATCTGATGATATGAAAGTGGGTGTTCTGGCAAAGGAGCCGAAGGAGCCGCCTATAAATAGAAATGACGTCACGCTAAAACTAGATATCAATAACATCTGATTGGTTTATGAGAATGACGTCACGTTTATCTAGGGTGCCGTGACCTTGACCCTTTACCTCGACCCTGTGTGACCTAGGTCCTTGACCTTAACCTTACATAATGAGCTTTGTGTTGATTGGTTAATGATAAATGTGTTTTCAAAAACCTGAATGGTGATTGGTTAATGAGTATTGGCGGTGAAGTGACTAAACACATTTGAATGTTCCCGCTATAACTGAACTTTCCTCCCATGTTTAAATTTTCCCGCCATATTTGAACCTCTTTGCTGGGGCGAAATAGAAATTAAACACACCCTGTGCTCTCTTTTTGAGGTTGGGTGTAGGTCAAGCAAGACATAACGGTAATTGATGTTATATATATCTAGCTCAGATGAGTGTCATAAACTAGTTTCTGACCGAATGTATAACAACATTATATTTTAATTTTTAGTTTCTATATAGCACATGGGCTAAAATGTCTCCACTATTTGTTAAGTGGTGCTATATAAGCCATATGCTATTGATCTATGTTCATCCCCTCAGAAGGATAGCTTTAATTTAATATTTGAATATGTTCCAAATGCATTGTAGTGAGTGAGTTAATATTTAACGTCACATCGGCAATAGTGCAGCCATATCGTGAGGAAAACATATTTAACATTGAAATGGAATATATGTATATTATAAAAACCTGTCGACGAAGGACAGTAAAACAACTAGAACATCACAATTAGAATTAAAACTAGTGCGGAAAGTTAAAACTAATAGCACTATTTGGACAATACAATATAAAAACAGGCTATAGATCGCCAACAACTGAAGGTAGAACACCATACTAGGAACCATGGGGACTTATCCAAATGCATTGTAATTGCAATTGAAATTGTATACAGTAATGTCTGATCATTTATTTGTTTCTGTAGAATGGAGAATACACGGGCAATGATGATGTGTGCAATACGTAAACCGCCCAAAAGAAAAATCTACCGAGATAGCAACACTCTGTCTGTTGGAATGAAAGAATCCCATGCGAACAGTGTGGACACACATTCTATCGAATGGATAATCATAAATCCCACAACTGTAAGCCAGAGCCCAAAGGCCGGTGAGACTGAAATAGATAAACGTCGGGTGAAACATTCCTTGTGTACACCCACTGAACACTGCATCAGCTGAGATTGAAAAGCCTAGTGTGTCTGCTGTGGCCACTTTCGCTGTTTACTCCCCAGTAAACGTTGTCTGTCATACAGACCCTGAAGCAAATATATCCAAGAAAGCCCACGCAAGTCTAGAAAATGTGAGAACTCTAGATTTCCCAAGTCTCAGGGCTCCTTTTCAAAATATTTTATTGTTTTGTTTTTTTCTGTAAAATAATGTTCATTTTAGAGACTAGTTGTTAGGCTACGGTAAACGAAATGGTGAGGGATGTTCATTCATTGGACCATGAAACCAAATTTGAACTAAGACACTTACTTACCTGTTCAATGTGAATTTTACAACAATCTGAATGACAAAGACATGTCAGATGCAGATTATAAACATGCTTCACAAGTTTGGCTTACATACAATGGGAGAGTATCATGATCAATACATGAAGACAGATGTTATGCTTTTGGCAGATGTATTTGAAAATTTCACGAATACTTAACTCTTATCAATGAGACCCGCTCATTATTACACTCAATAGGTGTGGGACGGGATTCGCTGCCCAAGATGGACAAAGGTTGAATTATAGCTACTGACAGATTTGGATATGTATCTCATGTTTGAGAGGAGGAATATCCATGATTTCAAAAGTATGTTAAAGCTAACAATCCGTATGTGCAGGATTTCAAACAAAATGACACATCTGTACATATCTCATGTACTACGATGCTGACAACCTGTACGGTCGGAGCATGTCCTAACCTCTCCCGGAAAGAGATTTTAAGTGAACCCTGAGGATCTAGAAAACCTTGACATTATGAGCATTCCAAAGGATTCAGAGGTAGGATATGTTTTGGAAGTCGACCTTGTATACCCTAAAATTTATATGATAATCACAGTGACTACCTCCCAGCCTCAGTCTCATTGGTCATCAATGACACCATGTTGTCAACTTACTCGAAAGATCTCAAAGAAAAGCTCTGTACCAAAGGGAAACTTGTGAAAAAGCTTGTTACAAATCTTTTCAGTAAAACAAAGTATGTGTTACATTACAGTAATCATCAGTTCTATTTCGATCAAGGTATGCAACTCAGTAAAAAATGTTTACTGAAGGATGAACTTGGCGGCTGTGTTATGGAAGAATTTGTTGGCCTCAGACCTAAAATGTATTCTGTTTTGTATGATGGTAAAGAGAAGAAAACAGCAGCTAAGCTGGTATCTAAAACTATCATCAAAAGCAGCTACGTCCTTGCCTATAGATGCAATGTTTATCTGAACATTTTCAACTGAGACATGACACGAAACAAACAGAAAGTTATGAACATCAGCTCTATACCATTAGCCACAGAAAAGTCCGGACAACTGAAGTCCGTTTGACAATAAGCTCTATTTACTAGAGGATGGTATTCAGACACTTGCATGGGTCACTTCCGTATTTTGAATCCCGATGTTACACCTGTATAGAAACTATTTCATACTGCTCCAGTGTGTACGTTATATTTACTGAGAATGAATAGAAATGATCACATTGTTTATACTATGTTTCAGTTACCCCTGTCTAAGGACATAGGGAAGAATGTAAATAAAGGTTCCGTTTTATTACAACTTGAGTATATGTCTGTACAGTATATGTTAATTGTGTTTGATATGTAAATAAACTGCAGTTTTCTACATAGATGAATATTTATAGTCACTCAGACTTTCAAGTATCACCTGATATTAAGAAGGCTCACTTCTGTTACAACTTGAAAAGACCGGGGATTTTGTTTGTATACTCTGTAACCCAGTTATATTCCACTTTGCTGAGTCACATTGTATTACCTAAACATGGTAATGACTGCATAAAGTATATTAAGCAGCAAAGAAACGTCAGTTTAGGAATTTTCCGTCGCATAAACGGATAACTGTAAACTCATTTAATGTTTTGATTGTATACTTTTACAACATCTCCAACTTTACCTGAGCAAAGACATTCCTTCCCAAACTCAGAATGGAACCCAGGAAATGGTCTCAAAAACGCAACCTGACCTCAGATATGGTACGGTGTTCTCCATGTATTTCATGCAAGTCATGCTGCACGTGCTGTTCACAAGGACCAGCCGTATAGAATGCACCCCAAACCTGGTTGAAACATTCACATTACAACGTCAGCAGGATGCCGCGGCTCACGACAGCTCAGAGGAACCAGGTGCTAGGAAGACTTGAAGCTGGCCACACTGCACAAGGCGTTGACTTGCCAATCACTTCGAATTCCAGGTCAACGTTCGGACCATCTACAGGCTGCAGCAACGTTTCCTGGCCACCAACACCACAAAGTCGCCTCCGTACTGGCAGACCAAGGGTGACGACAAGACCGCCATGTTGTGCGACAGCATGTGCAGAATCCTTCATGCAGGCATCCAAAACAGCACGCCAGACGGTGGGAACACACGGAAGACCAATCAGTACTGATACCGTACGCCGACGTCTTAACAGCGTGAACCTCCATTGCCGGAGACCTTACCATGGACCTATCCTCACCCTTCGTCATCGTCTACAGTTTGCCCTACAACACCAAAACTGGCGATACAGGCAATGGCGAACTGTTCTGTTCACAGATTAGAGTCGGTACTGCGTATCAACTGCAGATGGCAGAACAAGAATATGGCGACGACGTGGCCAGCGTTACTCAGACAAATGTGTTATGGAAAGAGACTCATGGGGAGGTGCAAGCATCATGGTATGGGGTGGAATAGGCTTGATCAGAGAGTGGGTCCTG